CACACGCTAGGCCCTTGCTCTTGCTATTTTGCACTCGCTAGGCCCTTGTTCTTGCAATTTTGCACACGCTAGGCCCTTGTTCTTGCAATTTTGCACATGCTAGGCCCTTGTTCTTGCTATTTTGCACACGCTAGGCCCTTGTTCTTTTTATTTTGCACACGCTAGGCCCTTGTTCTTGCAATTTTGCATATGCTAGACCCTTGTTCTTTTTTTTTTGCACACGCTAGGCCCTTGTTGTTGCTATTTTGCGAACGCTAGGCCCTTGTTCTTGATTTTTTGCACACGCTAGGCCCTTGCTCTTGCTATTTTGCACTCGCTAGGCCCTTGTTCTTGCAATTTTGCACACGCTAGGCCCTTGTTCTTGCAATTTTGCAAACACTAGGCCCTTGTTCTTTTTATTTTGCACACGCTAGGCCCTTGTTCTTATATTTTACAAATGCAAGGCCCTTGTTCTTGCTATTTTGCACACGCTATGCCCTTGTTCTTTTTATTTTGCACACGCTAGGCCCTTGTTCTTGCAATTTTGCACATGCTAGACCCTTGTTCTTTTTATTTTGCACACGCTAGGCCCTTGTTATTGCTATTTCGCGAACGCTAGGCCCTTGTTATTGTTTTTTTGCACACGCTAGGCCCTTGCTCCTGCTATTTTGCACTCGCTAGGCCCTTGTTCTTGCAATACTGCACACGCTAGGCCCTTGTTCTTGCAATTTTGCACACGCTAGGCCCTTGTTCTTGCATTTTTGCACATGCTAGACCCTTGTTCTTTTCATTTTGCACACGCTAGGACCTTGTTCTTGCAATTTCGCAAACGCTAGGCCCTTGTTCTTGAATTTTTGCACACGCTAGGCCCTTGCTCTTGCTATTTTGCACTCACTAGGCCTTTGTTCTTGCAATTTTGCACACGGCAGGCCCATGTTCTTGCAATTTTGCACACGCTAGGCCCTTGTTCTTTTTATTTTGCACACGCTAGGCCCTTGTTCTTTTTATTTTGCACACGCTATGCCCTTGTTCTTTTTATTTTGCACACGATATGCCCTTGTTCTTTTTATTTTGCACATGCTAGGCCCTTTTTCTTGCGATTTTGCACATGCTAGACCCTTGTTCTTTTTATTTTGCACACGCTAGGCCCTTGTTCTTGCTATTTGGCGAACGCTAGGCCCTTGTTCTTGATTTTTGGCACACGCTAGGCCCTTGCTCTTGCTATTTTGCACTCGCTAGGCCCTTGTTCTTGCAATTTTGCACACGTTAGGCCCTTGTTCTTGCAATTTTGCACACGCTAGGCCCTTGTTCTTTTTATTTTGCACACGCTAGGCCCTTGTTCTTTTTATTTTGCACACGCTAGGCCTTTGTTCTTGCTATTTTGCACACGCTATGCCCTTGTTCTTTTTATTTTGCACACGCTAGGCCATTGCTCTTGCTATTTTGCACTCGCTAGGCCCTTGTTCTTGCAATTTTGCACACGCTAGGCCCTTGTTCTTGCAATTTTGCACATGCTAGGCCCTTGTTCTTGCTATTTTGCACACGCTAGGCCCTTGTTCTTTTTATTTTGCACACGCTAGGCCCTTGTTCTTGCTATTTTGCACACGCTATGCCCTTGTTCTTCTTATTTTGTACACGCTAGGCCCTTGTTCTTGCAATTTTGCATATGCTAGACCCTTGTTCTTTTTATTTTGCACACGCTAGGCCCTTGTTCTTGCTATTTCGCGAACGCTAGGCCCTTGTTCTTGATTTTTTGCACACGCTAGGCCCTTGCTCTTGCTATTTTGCACTCGCTAAGCCCTTGTTCTTGCAATTTTGCACATGCTAGGCCCTTGTTCTTGCAATTTTGCAAACGCTAGGCCCTTGTTCTTTTTATTTTGCACAAGCTAGGCCCTTGTTCTTTTTATTTTGCACACGCTGGGCCCTTGTTCTTGCTATTTTGCACACGCTATGCCCTTGTTCTTTTTATTTTGCACACGCTAGGCCCTTGTTCTTGCATATTTGCACATGCTAGACCCTTGTTCTTTTCATTTTGCACACGCTAGGCCCTTGTTTTTGTAGCTTCACGAACGCTAGGCCCTTGTTCTTGATTTTTTGCACACGCTAGGCCCTTGCTCTTGCTATTTTGCACTCGCTAGGCCCTTGTTCTTGCAATTTTGCACACGCTAGGCCCTTGTTTTTTTATTTTGCACACGCTAGGCCCTTGTTCTTTTTATTTTGCACACGCTAGGCCCTTGTTCTTTTTATTTTGCACACGCTATGCCCTTGTTCTTTTTATTTTGCACATGCTATGCCCTTGTTCTTTTATTTTGCACATGCTAGGCCCCTGTTATTGCAATTTTGCACATGCTAGGCCTATGTTCTTTTTATTTTGTACACGCTAGGCCCTTGTTCTTGCTACTTCGCGAACGCTAGGCCCTTGTTCTTGATTTTTTGCACACGCTAGGCCCTTGCTCTTGCTATTTTGCACTCGCTAGGCCCTTGTTCTTGCAATTTTGCACACGTTAGGCCCTTGTTCTTGCAATCTTGCACACGCTAGGCCCTTGTTCTTGATTTTTTGCACACGCTAGGCCCTTGCTCTTGCTATTTTGCACTCGCTAGGCCCTTGTTCTTGCAATTTTGAACACGCTAGGCCCTTGTTCTTGTAATTTTGCATACGCTAGGCCCTTGTTATTTTTATTTTGCACACGCTAGGCCCTTGTTCTTTTTATTTTGCACACGCTATGCCCTTGTTCTTTTTATTTTGCACACGCTAGGCCCTTGTTCTTGCAATCTTGCACATGCTAGACCCTTGTTCTTATTATTTTGCACACGCTAGGCCCTTGCTCTTGCTATTTTGCACTCGCTAGGTCTTTGTTCTTGCAATTTTGCACACGCTAGGCCCTTGTTCTTGCAATTTTGTACACGCTAGGCCCTTGCGTTTGCTATTTTGCACTCGCTAGGCCCTTGTTCTTGCAATTTTGCACACGCTAGGCCCTTGTTCTTGCAATTTTGCACATGCTAGGCCCTTGTTCTTGCTATTTTGCACACGCTAGGCCCTTGTTCTTTTTATTTTGCACACGCTAGGCCCTTGTTCTTGCTATTTTGCACACGCTATGCCCTTGTTCTTTTTATTTTGCACACGCTAGGCCCTTGTTCTTGCAATTTTGCATATGCTAGACCCTTGTTCTTTTTATTTTGCACACGCTAGGCCCTTGTTGTTGCTATTTCGCGAACGCTAGGCCCTTGTTCTTGATTTTTTGCACACGCTAGGCCCTTGCTCTTGCTATTTTGCACTCGCTAGGCCCTTGTTCTTGCAATTTTGCACACGCTAGGCCCTTGTTCTTGCAATTTTGCACACGCTAGGCCCTTGTTCTTTTTATTTTGCACACGCTAGGCCCTTGCTCTTGCTATTTTGCACACGCTATGCCCTTATTCTTTTTATTTTGCACACGCTAGGCCCTTGTTCTTGCAATATTGCACATGCTAGACCCTTGTTCTTTTTATTTTGCACACGCTAGGCCCTTGTTATTGCTATTTCGCGAACGCTAGGCCCTTGTTCTTGTTTTTTTGCACACGCTAGGCCCTTGCTCCTGCTATTTTGCACTCGCTAGGCCCTTGTTCTTGCAATTCTGCACACGCTAGGCCCTTGTTCTTGCAATTTTGCACACGCTAGGCCCTTGTTCTTGCTATTTTGCAAAAGCTAGGCCCTTGTTCTTTTTATTTTGCACACGCTAGGCCCTTGTTCTTGCTATTTTGCACACGCTATGCCCTTGTTCTTTTTATTTTGCACACGCTAGGCCCTTGTTCTTGCAATTTTGCACATGCTAGACCCTTGTTATTGTCAGAACATATAGCTTACTTGTTTCTGTAGGCTATAGTGGGGTATCCCATAGGGGGTACAACCCAATTAGGGTTTCATATTTGTACTCACTTCATTTCATAGTCATCCATTCTCGTTCACATTTTCTCATGGAATCAGAGCAGGTCCCTTCTTAGGGCCTGTTCCTAGGGCCCACTGAAGCGCGCCCCGAGGCGCGCATTTTTTTTTTAGCGACCCTCCGTGTCGCCCTCCTCGTCGTGCTCCCGCTTAGGCCCCTCGTCGGCCCCGCTTAGGCCCCACGTCGGCCCCGCGTACCCCCGCTTAGGCCCGTCGGCCCCGCTTCGGCCCCGCGTCGGCCCCTCGTCGCCCCGCTTAGGCCCGTCGGCCCCGCTTCGGCCCCGCGTCGGCCCTGCGTCGCCCCGCTTAGGCCCGTCGGCCCCGCTTCGGCCCCGCTTTGGCCCCGCGTTGGCCCCGCTTAGGCCCCGTCGGCCCCGCGTTGGCCCCGCTTAGGCCCCGCCGGCCCGCCTAGGCCCCACTTCGGCCCCTCGTCGGCCCCGCCCAGACCTCGTCGGCCCCGCCACGGCCCTACGCCGGCCCCGCTTCAGCTACTGTCGGCCCCGCTACAGCCCGCCACTGGCCTCGCTACACCCCGCCACTGGCCCCGCTACAGCCCGCGCCGGCCCCTGCTACAGCCCGCGCCGGCCCCTGCTATAGCCCGCCGCCGGCCCAGCTTCAGCCCGCCGCCGGCCCCGCTACAGCCCGCCGCCGGCCCTGCTACAGCCCGCCGCCGGCCCCGCTACAGCCCGCCACCGGCCCCTGCTACAGCCCGCCGCTGGCCCAGCTACAGCCCGCCCCGGCCCCGCTACAGCCCGCCGTCGGCCCGCCGTCGGCCCCGCTTCAGCCCTCCCCGCGGCCCCTTCTGCAGCCCACCGTGCTGCACGTGAGCAGCCCCAGCAGCCCGCGCCGCCCGTGAGCCCCTACGCCACCCGAGCCGCGCGAGCCGCCCGAGCCGCCCGAGCCGCCCGAGCCGCCCGAGCCGCCCGAGCCGCCGGAGCCGCCCGAGCCGCCGAGCCGCCCGAGCCGCCCGAGCCGCCCGAGCCGCCCGAGCCGCCCGAGCCGCCCGAGCCGCCTGAGGAGCTGTGCTGCTGTTCCTGAGCTGTGTTCCTCTGCTGCTGACCTACCCAACTCTCTCAGCCCGGTGAGACTTTCAGCTGCTGCCATGGCCACCCCCAATGTTCTTACTTTTGACGCTGAGGGGAGGGCCATTGACTTTGCCGTCTGGATTGAAGACCTGCAGCTGTACTTACTGTGTGATGCGATAGATGAGGTCTCTCTCTTTGACTTTGTCTCTGGCGCTGTCCCTGCCCCACCTGCTGATGCTGACTCTGCCGTTCGCTCCAAGTGGGCGACCCGCGATGCTGCTGCACGTCTTGCTGTGCGTCGCCACCTCCCTTCCTCTGAGCGTGCCCACTTTAGTCAGTGCAAGACCGCTCAGGCCTTGTACGACGCTGTAGTTGCACGCTACTCCTCCCCTTCCTCCGCTACCCTTAGCCGCCTCATGCTACCGTTTCTCTTCCCTGACCTCGCTTCCTTTCCCACTGTCGCTGACCTCGTTACCCACCTCCGTGCTAGTGACACCCGCTACCGCGCTGCCCTTCCTGCTGAGTTCCGCGCTGCGAACCCTCCTCCCATGTACATCACTCTCTACTTTCTTGTCACCCGTCTCCCTGAGACCCTTCGTGTCGTTAGGGACCAGTTTCTCTCTGTCTGTCTCACCACTCTCACTGTCGACCTCCTTGAGGAGTCCCTGCTAGCGGCTGAGAAGAGTATTGTCGCTGTAGGGGCCTCTCGGGGTGACCCTCGCACCCCCATCTTTGAGGGGTGTGGTCCTTCCCCCCTGCTGCCCTCTGTCGCCTCTGCCGCTGCGGCCGATCTCACTGGTTTTGAGTCGGTCGGCGCGGCGTCTGCCCCCAGCGGCAGACGCCGCTCTGGCAAGGGCAAGGGGGGCAAGGGAGCGGGTGGAGCTAGAGGGGGCGGTGGAGGAGGCGGTGGGGGTGGCGGGGGGAGTGGGGGTGGCGGTGGGGGTGGTGGCGGGAGTGGAGGTACTGGTGGCGGCGGTGGAGGCGGAGGTGGCGGCGGAGGTGGTAGCGGAGGAGGCGGTGGGAGCGGTGGGAGCGACGGTCCTGGTGGGGGAGGTGGCGGTGGAGACGGGGGTGGCGGTGGAGGCGGGGGTGGCGGTGGAGGCGGGGGTCGGAGTGGCTCGTCCCAGCGGAGCAGCTCTGGGGGTGGTCAGCGCCAGCAGCAGCAGCAGCAGCAGCCGCAGCAGCAGCCACAGCAGCAGCAGCGCTCTCGCACCGTCCCCGGCCCACAGCAGCTCCGTGAGTGGTACTTGCAGCGTCAGCGTGGTGGTGCGCTTGGTCCCTGCCCCTACGTTCTTCGCACCGGTGACCGTGAAGGGGAGAGGTGTGGAGGCGCCCACACAGCCCGCCGCTGCTTTGGCCGCCTGACTGACGCCTGGCGTCAGCAGTTTCCGGAGGCAGCTGAGATCCCCCGCTGGGGAGAGCTGTCTAGGGCTGGTGTAGCTATTTATGATCTTGATTTTGATGCTATTCTCTCTGCTATGTATGCTGCGATTGGTAGTGATGAGGATGACTGTTACCGGTGTTTCCCGCCCGACCCGGGCATTGGTACTGCCGCGTCAGGTACTTGTGAGGCTGCTGCTCTAGGTGCTAGTGCGTCTGTGCTCTCAGGTGCTGGTGAGTCTGCCCTCTCAGGTACTGTGTCGGCTTCGGCCTCTCACACCTTCACCCTTGACTATGGAGCGTCTCGCTCCTTCTTTAGGGACCGCACCACTCTCACGCCGCTGAGTCGGCCGGTTGCGGTGTCCCTGGCTGACCCCTCTGGGGGGCCTGTCCTGTCTCGCTTCTCCACTGTCCTCCCGTGTCCGGCGGCCCCCTCTGGCACCCTGACTGGTCTCTACCTCCCCTCGTTCTCGACGAACTTGGTGAGTGGTGCTGACCTCCAGGATGCGGGTGTCCACCAGTTCACCCCTGCTCGTCAGCGGGTGACCCACTGCACGGAGGCGGATACAGGTCGCCACCTGGCTACGTTTACACGTCGGCCAGGGTCGAGCCTGTACACACTGACCACTGCTTCTCCTCCAGGTGCTACGTCTGGTAGGGTCCCTTTGTCTGGTCAGGTGTTTGCTGCAGCGTCCAGGTCTGGTCCTGAGTCTGCCCCCTGCTCGTGTCGTCGTCTGTCTCACGAGACCCTCCTCTGGCACCACCGCCTTGGCCACCCCTCTCTGCTTCGGCTCAGAGGCATGGCCTCGAGAGTCCTTGTGTCTGGTCTTCCCCGGTCTCTCCCTCCCCTTCCTCCGGGCCCTGGCCCTACCTGTGTCCCCTGTGTCGAGGGGCGCCAGCGTGCTGCCCCTCACTCCTCCCAGTTTCCTCCGACAGAGGCCCCGTTGCAGACGCTTCACATGGACGTGTGGGGCCCAGCCCGCGTCCGTGGACAGGGTCAGGAGCGCTACTTCCTGCTGGTGGTTGACGACTACTCGCGTTACACCACAGTCTTCCCCTTGCGCAGCAAGGGTGAGGTCACTGCGGTGTTGATCGACTGGATCCGCGCAGCTCGTCTCCAGCTTCGGAGGAGCTTTGGCTCTGACTTCCCTGTTTTGCGTCTGCACTCGGACAGAGGCGGAGAGTTCTCCTCTGGCCTCCTGAGTGCCTACTGTCGTGCGCGAGGCATCCGTCAGACCTTCACGCTTCCGGACTCCCCACAGCAGAATGGGATTGCTGAGCGCCGCATTGGCATGGTCATGGACGTCGCTCGTACGTCCATGATGCATGCGGCTGCTCCCCATTTTCTGTGGCCGTTTGCGGTCAGGTACGCTGCGCACCAGATCAACCTCCACCCCCGGGTCTCTCGACCGGAGACCTCCCCAGCCCTGCTGTGGACGGGGAAGGTTGGCGATGCGTCGGCGTTCCGGGTCTGGGGATCTCGGGCGTTTGTTCGCGACCTGTCTGCGGACAAGCTGTCCCCTCGTGCTTCTCCCTGCGTCTTCCTGGGGTTCCCCCCCGACGCCCCTGGGTGGCAGTTTTACCACCCCACCTCTCGACGTGTTCTGTCCTCCCAGGACGTCACGTTCGACGAGTCGGTACCCTACTACCGCCTCTTCCCCTACCGCACTCCGTCCCTCCCCCCACCCCCGCTCTTTTTGGTACCAGGTCCCCCCCCGGTAGTCCCCCTCCCCCCTCAGGGTCCTGCCCCTTCAGGTGTGTCCCAGGTAGACGCGGTCGAGCCTGTCGAGGTCACTGGTGACTCTGGTGCTGCTGCGGGAGCTGAGCCTGGGGGTGCGGGGTCTGGGGGTGCTGTGCCTGGGGGTGCTGAGCCTGGAGGTGCCGAGCCTGGGGGTGCTGTGCCTGGGGGTGCTGAGCCTTGGGGTGCTGAGCCTGAGGGTGCTTTGCCTGGGGGTGCTGAGCCTGGAGGTGCCGAGCCTGGGGGTACTGAGCCTGGGGGTACTGAGCCTGGGGGTGCTGTGCCTGGGGGTGCTTCGTCTCGCCGGGAGCCACTCTCCCCACAGGAGCTGCGTGAGTGGTTTGCGAGGCGCTGGAGGCGTGCTGCTGGTGCGGGTGGTTCTTCGGCTGTAGAGGGTACTGCTGCCGCGCGTCCCGCCGGTGCTCGTACTGTGGGTGCTGGAGCTGCTGAGTCTGAGAGTTCTCCTGGAGCTAGTACTGCTGCGGGTGTTGGCGCTGAGCCTGCCGTTGGCGGTACGACTGACAGTGCTCCTGGTACTACTGCTTGAGGTTCTGGAGCTTCTGGTGGTGCTGCTGGAGGTGCTGCTGGAGTGGGTGCTCCTCCCGGGGCTGCTGGTGCTGTTCCTGCTGTTTCTAGCGTCGCCGCGTGGCCCCGACCGTACTTCGTTCCGCTCCTGCAGCAGGTTCTTGGTCTTCCACCTCCTCCTCCTCCCTTAGAGGGTCCGCAGCCTGTCCTGTCACAACCACAGCTACGGCCTGCCTCCCCTTTGCCTGCTCCTTCTCCCTACGCTGGTCCGACTGGAGGTCTTACTGAGCGTCGTGAGCCTGCGTCTCGTCCTGTGTCGCCTGTTCGTACTGAGCGCACTAGTTGTCGCGGGTCGCGTCAGCGTCCTCCTCCTGTCCCTGGCACGCACCGGATGTCACTTGCGTCCGTCCACTGCTCCTCTGCGTGCCCCTTTGCCTTCTCCTCCTGCTTCCTCTCTTCCTGCTCTTGCCGACCCGGAGTCGGACTCTCTTCGTGCTGCCAGTCCTACTGTCACGCGTCTACTTGCTACTGCTGTCACTGACCCTTCCTTCGAGTCGTCTGCTGCGTCTGCCCTTGTCACTGAGCTTGTTGACTTTGCTGCGCGCTGTCGTCTGGACTACGCTGCTAGTCTTGTCACTGAGTCTGAGTCCGCCTGTCCTCCGTCCGTCGGGGGTGAGTGTGCCCTTGGCACGGACGTCCTTGAGGACAGGCAGGAGGAGTTCCAGTGTCTGGCCGCCGCTTCACCTCGTCTCGCGTCTGTACTGCTAGCCCCTGAGGGAGACCCGGATGCACTAGACATCCCGACTCCGCGCTCTTACGCGGAGGCGATAGAGGGTCCCTACTCCTCTCAGTGGCAGGCAGCTATGGATGCAGAGATGGCTTCCTGGAAGTCCACAGGCACCTACGTTGACGCTGTTCCCCCTCCTGGGGCGAACATCGTCAGTGGCATGTGGATTTTCAGGGTGAAGCGGCCGCCGGGTTCTCCGCCTGTCTTCAAGGCGCGTTACGTGGCTCGTGGCTTCAGTCAGCGGCAGGGGGTTGACTACTTTCAGACCTTCTCCCCCACCCCGAAGATGACCACTCTTCGGGTTCTGCTGCACGTTGCTGCTCACCGTGACTACGAGCTGCACTCTCTCGACTTCAGCACAGCTTTCTTGCAGGGCAGCCTGCACGAGGAAATCTGGCTGCGTCGCCCACCTGGCTTCACTGGGTCTTTCCCTCCTGGCACCCAGTGGAGTCTTCGGCGTCCAGTCTACGGTCTCCGCCAGGCGCCACGTGAGTGGCACGACACACTGAGGACTACGCTCGCGGCACTTGGGTTTGCTCCTTCTACTGCCGACCCGTCGCTGTTTCTGCGCACCGACACCTCTCTGCCGCCGTTCTACATCCTCGTGTACGTCGACGACTTGGTCTTTGCCACAGCTGACACTGCTGGACTCGCCTACGTGAAGTCCGAGCTGCAGAAGAGACACACGTGCACTGACCTGGGTGAACTGCGCAGCTACCTTGGCTTGCAGATCACCCGGGACAGAGCACGCCGCACCATTACCCTGACTCAGTCACACATGGTGCAGCAGGTCCTTCAGCGCTTCGGCTTCACGTACTCCTCGCCTCAGGCCACTCCTCTGCCTACTCGCCACTCGCTCTCAGCTCTGCCTTCGGATGAGTCCGTAGAGTCGAGTGGCCCGTTTGCAGAGCTTGTTGGCTGCCTCATGTACCTGATGACTTGCACACGACCTGACCTCGCATACCCTCTTAGCATTCTCGCACGCTTTGTTGCTCCTGGGAGACACCGACCAGAGCACATGGCTGCAGCGAAGAGGGTGTTGCGCTACTTGTGCAGTACGTCGGGCATGGGGCTAGTGCTTGGAGGGCGCAGTCCAGTGGTCCTCACTGGGCACGCGGACGCTTCTTGGGCTGACGACCAGGCTACGCAGCGGTCGTCACAGGGTTACACCTTCAGCCTTGGTTCCGGCTCTGTCTCGTGGCGGGCTACCCGCTCGTCTTCTGTTCTCGGCTCCAGTTGTGAGGCTGAGATCTACGCTGGGGCTATGGCTGCACAGGAGTTACGCTGGCTCACCTACCTGCTGACCGACCTTGGAGAGCAGCCTAGTTCTCCTCCAGTCCTGTACGTAGACAACAAGGCCATGCTGGCCTTGTGTCGAGAGCAGCGACTAGAGCACAGAACAAAGCACATTGCTCTCCGCTACTTTCTTGCTCGTGAGCTACAGCAGCGTGGACAGTTGCGACTTGCGTACGTGGCCTCTGAGGCCAACACTGCTGATGTCTTCACCAAGGCACTTGCGCCTTGTGATCATCAGCGTTGTTGCACGCAGTTAGGTCTTGTGCCTGTCTCGCCTCACTTGCTCTCCTCTTGACCTTGCTTGTACCCTCGCCTATATATACGCTTGACTCTTGTATATCTCTATATATGATCTTGCATGTGAACTGGCCTTCTGGCCTTTGAACTTGTGCTCGGAATGCGTGGTGACTTTGTGATCCACCCTGAGCTTTGCTTTGCTTTGCTTGACTGGTCTTGTGACCCCTTGTTCTCCCCCACTTTGCCTATGGGGGTGTGTCAGAACATATAGCTTACTTGTTTCTGTAGGCTATAGTGGGGTATCCCATAGGGGGTACAACCCAATTAGGGTTTCATATTTGTACTCACTTCATTACATAGTCATCCATTCTCGTTCACATTTTCTCAGTTATTTTTATTTTGCACACGCTAGGCCCTTGCTGTTGCAATTTTGCACACGCTAGGCCCTTGTTCTTTTTATTTTGTACACGCTAGGCCCTTGTTCTTATATTTTGCACATGCTAGACCCTAGTTCTTGCTATTTTGCACACGCTATGCCCTTGTTCTTTTTATTTTGCACACGCTAGGCCTTTGTTCTTGCAATTTTGCACATGCTAGACCCTTGTTCTATTTATTTTGCACACGCTAGGCCCTTGCTCCTGCAATTTTGCACACGCTAGGCCCTTGTTCTTTTTATTTTGCACACGCTAGGCCCTTGTTCTTATATTTTGCACATGCTAGGCCCTTGTTCTTGCAATTTTGCACACGCTAGGCCCTTGTTCTTTTTATTTTGCACACGCTAGGCCCTTGTTCTTGCTATTTTGCACACGCTATGCCCTTGTTCTTTTTATTTTGCACACGCTAGGCCCTTGTTCTTGCAAATTTGCACATGCTAGACCCTTGTTCTTTTCATTTTGCAACGCTAGGCCCTTGTTTTTGCAGCTTCGCGAACGCTAGGCCCTTGTTCTTGATTTTTTGCACACGCTAGGCCCTTGCTCTTGCTATTTTGCACTCGCTAGGCCCTTGTTCTTGCAATTTTGCACACGCTAGGCCCTTGTTCTTGCAATTTTGCACACGCTAGGCCCTTGTTCTTTTTATTTTGCACACGCTAGGCCCTTGTTCTTTTTATTTTGCACACGCTATGCCCTTGTTCTTTTTATTTTGCACACGCTATGCCCTTCTTCTTTTTATTTTGCACATGCTAGGCCCCTGTTCTTGCAATTTTGCACATGCTAGGCCTATGTTCTTTTTATTTTGCACACGCTAGGGCCCTTGTTCTTGCTATTTTGCGAACGCTAGGCCCTTGTTCTTGATTTTTGCACACGCTAGGCCCTTGCTCTTGCTATTTTGCACTCGCTAGGCCCTTGTTCTTGCAATTTTGCACACGCTAGGCCCTTGTTCTTGTAATTTTACACACGCTAGGCCCTTGTTCTTTTTATTTTGCACCCGCTAGGCCCTTGATCTTTTTATTTTGCACACGCAATGCCCTTGTTCTTTTTTTTTGCACACGCTAGGGCCCTTGTTCTTGCAATCTTGCACATGCTAGACCCTTGTTATTATTATTTTGCACAAGGTAGGCCCTTTTTCTTGCTATTTCGCGAACACAAGGCCCTTGTTCTTGTTTTTTTTGCACACGCTAGGCCCTTGCTCTTGCAATTTTGCACTCGCTAGGCCCTTGTTCTTTTTATTTTGCACACGCTAGGCCCTTGTTCTTGCAATTTTGCACACGCTAGGCCCTTGCTCTTGCTATTTTGCACTCGCTAGGCCCTTGTTCTTGCAATTTTGCACACGCTAGGCCCTTGTTCTTGCAATTTTGCACACGCTAGGGCCCTTGTTCTTGCAATTTTGCACACACTAGGCCCTTGTTCTTGCAATTTTGCACACGCTAGGCCCTTGTTCTTTTATTTGCACACGCTATACCCTTGTTCTTTTTATTTTGCACACGCTATGCCCTTCTTCTTTTTATTTTGCACATGCTAGGCCCCTGTTCTTGCAATTTTGCACATGCTAGGCCTATGTTCTTTTTATTTGCACACGCTAGGCCCTTGTTCTTGCTATTTCGCGAACGCTAGGGCCCTTGTTCTTGATTTTTTGCACACGCTAGGCCTTGCTCTTGCTATTTTGCACTCGCTAGGCCCTTGTTCTTGCAATTTTGCACACGTTAGGCCCTTGTTCTTGCAATCTTGCACACGCTAGGCCCTTGTTCTT